CGACGCGGATATCGGCGACCCCAGTTAGCGTTCCCGGTGAGCCCGTATATCGCTGTTGACGCCTTAATATGCACAAAAAAGCAGCAAAAGATCACTTGTAAGGTATGTACCTTGTTCTTTTCTATTTGCAGAAAAACACCGGAATCGTGCATTGACAGAATTACATAAAGTGGACAAGCGCTCCAGCAGCTTCAACATGCATCGCGGCAAAACGAACAGGCCTAACCCTCCGTCTGCTTTCTTTCTCTGCTCTTTCGTCGCTTTTCTTTCTTTTGGGACCGGAGATGTTAGCTCCCAGAAGTTGCCGCGTTCTGCTCCTGTCTTTACCCGCCTGGTCGAGATTGAGCCGTCGTATACGTCGGAGCCATTATGTCTGGAACAAGTAATCACGGCGCAACTGACCATTTCAAACCTCGAGTAGCAGACAAAGTACAGTGCGAACACGGCGCCAACGCACAGAAAACATGGCATAACAGTGACGAAGGCCTCCAACATGGATTCCGGCGGGTTACGAACCGGTAGAAGCGTTGCATCGTGGTCTCGTGCAGGAACTGACCCGAAAGAAAGGACGAGAAAGAAAGTGACAAAAGAACAGAAAAAGAAAGCACACGAAGGGTTATGCCTGTTCGTTTTGCCGGGACAAGTTGAAGTTGCTCGAGCGCTTGTCAACTTTATGCATAGAGTTATTATAATGTACGCTAGAGGTTCAAGTGGCGCTAGTGTGCTGCTGCAAATTGAAGCAGACAGCAACCAGTCGGAAATTGACTTCCGGTAATGCATTTCTATGGGAAAAAGCGAGTACATTTTCTCTCCGCGCTCGAATATAAGAGCAAATATCACGAATAATTTGTACGTACTAGGTAGCTTGGAACATTTCTCAGTCAGGCCGACGAAATAATTGGTCAGTTACGGCGTTTTGTCTTTCAAATTCATGGGATTAAAAACGGTGCTAAAACGGCTTCGTACGTGTATTTATGTGCACTGTCGGACACTGTTAGCGCGAACACGGCATCGGTGCTTTCCACCATGGGGATATACGTGTCAAACGAACGAAGGACATGTGGAAAACCAAGAGACGGCAAGAACTACGCAGTAACATTGGATAAGTAACTCCTTGTGCATGCAGGCGACCAAAATAAATTGAAAGCCACATAATATAGTCCGATTTGAAATAAATAAGTACTGATTTATTCTTTCTGCTCATGAATATGTGCAAAGATGCTTGTTCTGGGTTCAAATCATCAACCGCACGCTCCAAATCTTTGCAAATAGGGAGAGGTCAGAGAACAGAGGCCCGATAAGAACTGCCGGACATAGGAAATAATAGAAAGGCACACCTTTCGTAGTCCACGTACTTTATTTCTTACATTTGAATGTTTTTTAACCGTCGTAAGGATGCACGACGGAGTCATTCATAGAGTGACAGGACGGGCATATTAGCAATATATAAGGGCAGTGTCTATTCTGCATATATAAGCGCCACCGCAATGCTAGCGAACCTTGAACACACTCTACATTCTTTTCGATCGTTAGTTTGCTTAGAATCGTCGCTCGTTTTTACATACCTGCCATGGAACATATATGTTTGGGCCTGAAATATAGCGAAGCTTAACATTGTTCAGTGGTAAAGAAAAATGCTGTAATTAAAGCAATTACACTTTTACAATATTAATAAGTGTACATAATATCCGGTACAACCGAAATAATAAAAGCCATTCGTGTTATTTTCCGGCGAAGAGGCAAATTTCACGCGCGTTTTCCCGTAGGAATGCACAGGAGCACTGCAAAAGTAGACTGGTTGCTGTCTGCTTCAATTTGCCTCCCGGAAGTCGCATAGACACTAGCGCCAGTTGAACCTCTAGCGTACATTATAATAACTCTATGACTTTATGAATGCGCGATTCTGGTGTTTTTTTTTTTTTTTTTTTGCAAAGTAAGAGAGGAAATAACAAGGTACAGACCTTCTAAGTGATAAAAGTGACGTGTTTCTGCTTTTTTTTTTTTTGTGCATTTTAAGGCGTCGCCGGTGATATGGGCGCATCGGGACCGCCAACTGAAACCGGCGATATCCGTGCCCTACCGTTCCGAAGCGGCTAAGTGCATAGGACCTTTCACTCTAGATTATTATATTAACTCTATGATCTCTACATAAAAACTTCGTGTACCCCAACTAAGGCTTTGTGGTCTCCACTTCGTGTCAGGTAAGGAAGCTCTTTGCGATTGGCTCGGACAAGAAAATATTCTGAAATGTGGTTGAACAAAGACGGCTCTATGACTCTACGGCACTGCTGCTGCCTGAATAAGACACCGAATGCCTCCGACATGGCGCCAAGGCACTGATAGCAGACGACAGTGTTAGTTGCGATTTCGAGTCTAACGGGAAGTGACGTCAGGTGCAAGAAGCCTATTGGCCGGCCAGTTCAGATAAACCTTCAGACAACTGGCAACCATTACTTCAAGCAGCAAGATCGCTGAAGTGCCATTACCCTAAAGTGTAGCCCATTTAGTGACTCTGGGGAAAAAGAAAGAAGGAAAAAAAAAAAAAGAACGATGAATATGTGTCCTATGGGGCCATGAACATAACAAATTTATGCGGGCCAAAGAAACACAGTAATGACCCACCATAGGAAGAGCTTCGGCTCACACGTAATCGGTTGACTGAGCTAAGCAATGGAGTTAAGGCAAGCTGGATGGATGGAGTGTAGACCAGCGTTGCCAGAATGATAGGGATTTCGCTGAAAGTTCTCATCAGTCTGAAAACACTAGTAAACTAGGTCATGGCGTAGCCAGGAATTTTTATCGGGGGGGGGGGGGGGTCTAAAATGCATGTGCATTATAAGGTCGGCTGAATTTCGATGAAGGGGGGCTAAAGCCCCATAACCACCTACCTTCCTGGTTACGCCACTAGGGTAGCCACCTTCCTGCTAGCGAAATGCGGGACACGTTGAGTGTGTGTGTGTGTGTGTGTGTGGGGGGGGGGGGGGGGGGGAGTGGGTCGTAAGAGAAGATCGGTATTATATTTCGACTGTGGCAACTGCAAAAATGAACTTAGAGCGCAGTCGAGCTCGTGGAAGTTTACCATGATGCTTTTTAACCCGAAACTGGGTAGAAGCAGGAAACATTTTGTCCTCCTTGTGCCTCAGTCTAAGATTAAAAAGAAGCATCATGAAAAAAAAAAAAAAAAAAACTATTCTAAGAAATTTATTAACAGGCGCCATAAAATGTGACTCTCATCCTGTCTTGTCTCAAAGCATATTGTACAGCTGCAAATTGTATCGCGGCAGTTAACCTCAAATACTTTTCACTCCCAGTGATATATTTTTAGTTTTAATGCCACATATGTTCATAAATGTGTCTAAGTTGAAAACGTCAAATCGACTGCAGCAAAACTCAATGGATCAAAAGGAAAGAAGAAACAGTAAATCTTTTTCAACTTCTTGTTTCCTGTCGATTCTTATTTTTACCAACATGCTCCAACAGAAATTTTGAACCTTATGATGTTGTTTTTGAGAGTTGTGAGTTGCAGTCTTTTTGCCTTGCCTTCACTAAAAAAAAAAAAAAAAAAAAAAAAAAAAAGTAGAGCAATTTTTTTGCATTGACACAGCACAATTTTAAAATAATTGCAATAATTCATTTTCAACTTTTGGCGAGGAATTTTCTCTGGCAATATATTGCCACCAAGGGAAGAGAGGCACAACGGCGCATGCGCGTCAGTTCTCCTGCGAGAACGGTGGCAGCTTCCCGCAATGCTTGGATAGAAAATGCTGTAGCATCGCGATTCACACGATTGCCAGCGACCTCCGCACTTCCCTGTGCCCCGTTGTTCAGCAGGGCGTAGTGAATTTTACAGCAGTGTGAAATGCGGGATGTATTGAAAATTTTGTTATTACTTGCGGGACGCGGGACACGAGCCCTCGATGCTGGACAGTCCCGATAGATTAGTGCTGCTAGATCAAGAAGAATTCCGCCGAATTCTGTTAAAAACCGTTATCAGGTTGGCTAGTTGTTAGAAACCATTATCAGGTTGGCTAATTGTTGGAAACCGTTAACAGGCTTTGTCTTTGTGAGGTACAGCCGGTCAAGGAGAATGGAAGGGTAAGAGAGGGCATGACGTCAGCCGCGTAGCCTCCACAAGCCATGCTCCCTTGACGCCTCGCCTCTTTCGCATTTTCCTCCTTACTCTCACCACATCACGTGATCGTAGCTAGCCTTCGTCTAGCTATGGTGTACTAGAATACACCACAGCCTAGCCTTCGATCTGATAAAACCTACCGGACGGAGCGCGCCCAAGCCTGCAAGGAATCCTCCTACAATCAACCATCCATCTCGCACGTGACATGTCACGCGCACCAATCGCCAGACAGATCTGCGGTCACGCTGGGCACAAAATCGTTCAAACTTTTTATGACTAGGCTTCAAGCTTAGGTCTGAGCGCGGCCGATGTTATGAGCCGAAGGGCTAATCTAGTGGCTCTAGGCTAATCAAACGGCGAAAGAGGCACAACGTCATGGCGTGCTCTTTTCATTTGATAGGACTAGCTGGTATTAGCCGTCTCTCTGTGTGTGCTCCTCCGCCGGCTAGTCCTATCAAGCGCAAAGAGCACGCCATGACGTAGCGCTTTTGGCGCTGTTTGATTGGCCCTTCGGCTTATAACATCGTCCGCGCTCGGACGTAAGGTTGCAGCCGGTACAGCGAAAGCTGCAAAGGCTGCAAAGAGTCTTTCAGGGAATTCCTTCGGATGTCCAATTTTATCAACAGAAAGTTTTAGAACTGTCCATATTACTGTTTGAAAATAAATTCAAATTTTCAACCAGCAAAAATATTTTGTTATAAAAAAATGTAGTTTTTTTCTTTTTTTGTAATGCATTATTTATTACTCGTGAGAAAGCGACAGCGCGAAGTAGCCGGGACTCATGGCCAGACCACAACACTGAGCGATGCGTCTCAGTTATTGCGCGAAAGAGCTACCAGATGGCTCTACGGTCTCGCCATTTCAGCCCTTTCGCTGCTTGGTGCTTGGTTGGACCCGTTCTTAGCCGAGAGAGCAGGTCAGAGCACTTTTAACACTCTTAAACCCACCCCTTCACCCATATCCTACCCCCACCTGGTCGGATGACTGGTGAAACATTCCTGTTAATTAATGTATTCTGACTGACTTGGTTTTCGTGCTGTCTGCAGTACATCAAACTTCTAGCGTGCGTAAACATACTGTCAATAAAACAAATACAAAAAAAAAAAAAAATAGGAACAACATTAACGATGCATTTGACAACCTCAGGACGCAATTCGGGGGAGACTGAGTGTGTCAAACAACTACAGTGCAGGTATGAAAGCAGGCAAGCGCAGACGTCAAAAGACGCGCGTCACATCGCTTCTTTCCGAATTCCAACGTCTTCTCAAACGTAGAACGGATCAGCTTATCTCAACCTCCCTTCCATTTTAGATGCTGGCAAAAGCACAAAGAAATTTTCCCTCGGAATAAACCGTAATTGAGCTAATAAACGATGGAAAAACAAAAGACAAAAGAGAGGGGTGCCATCGGAAACCGCGAACGCACGATCCACGCACAGAGCGCGCCGGCTTGCACGTGTACACTTGAAGTCACGTGACGGGGCGGGCCTCGCGCTGAGGCGAGCGCGCCAGCCAATGGGAAGCCGCAACCATCACCTGATAGTGGCCCGACATCTCGCCGGAACTGGACCTGTCCCACTCCGGGAGAACGAGGGGAGGCAGGCGCCGCGGCTCCTCTAGGGCCGCCGTTGGAGTGAGCTGTGATTCCCGCTGTCGTCATCGGCTCTCACGTAAGCGCCGGCTTCCCGTACGAGACCCGACTGCCGAACGACCCGCGGGGGCTCCACGCGTCGCCGGGCGACGTCAGAGGCCTCCCCTCCGCGGCGCCTGCCCACCCCCCCGGCGGCGCGAGTGGTACCGGTCCGTCTGCGTCTGCGGCGCGGTGCCTGTTCCGGCCGGAGCTGGCGTGGGGACATAAAAAAAGTGGTCAATCGAGGCGTACGCAGCGTAGATCGGCCGACCCGCCTCTTGGGAGAGACCACGAATTCCCCCTTCGTCGAATGGAGAGTGCAAATAGCCTGAGCCCCCGGCGACTTTCCGCCATTGGAGGGAGTCAAAAGTCGCGCCGACAGTCGTACGCAGGTCAGTCAGGCACCCAGTCCCTCGACGTCGGCACGGGTCAGTTGAAGCGAGTGCCTACGGTCAGCGGTCCGGTATCGGCGCTGGACGGCCCACAGATGTATCGGCTAGACGTAAACCACCGGAGCACGAGCGGCAGCAGCAGCCGCCGTGCGAGCAGGAACGAGGACTCGTTTACATGCTCCCAGCAGAGCATCCTGAGTGCCATGGACCGCTTCGTCAAGTCCGTGAACAACATGGACGCCACGGTGCTGGTGCCGTCCCGACTTCGCGACATGGATCTGACGGACAAGGCGGGCCGGGCGCCCCCGGCCAACCTCACCCACACGGACCTCTACTCCTTCTACAACATGCTCAACGACGTGAAGAACGAACTGCTCTGGGGACCGAGCACGGCGGCGACGTCGGCCGCGATCCCGCTCACGGGAGCGCTCATGAGGCCGCCGCCCAAGCACACGCGGCAACCGTCGGACGACTCGCTGGGATCGACGGGTTCGACGTCGGACACTGACTCCGACGTGGACAGCGTAGTGACAGATCGGGGAGCCGACAGCCTCGAACACAGCCTACACCTGGCCGCAGCCTTTCGGCACCATTTGCAGGGCCTCCACGCCATCCTCCACCAGCTAGCCGACTCCGCCGACTACCTGGCGTGCAGGTACCAGGAGGAAGTGGACGCGTCGTCGCTCTGAGAGCGCTCCCAGACGCTCGCCGGACTTTTCCAGTGCTGTCTAGCGAACGCCCCTCGTCGCCTTGCCGGACTCTCCTCCCTGTGTGACTTTTTTCTCTACTACTACGATACGTGAGACGTGGATTTCCAACGCTAGACATCTCTGCTTCCGCCACCGCTCCATCAGTCGGTCATCTACCCTCCCTCTTTGCTTTGCAAGTCTTCGCGAGAGGAGGTGCGTTTTTGACACGGCAGCGGATGGTTTGTTTTCGTCATCGACTCTGCAAACCAGCTGTTCGCTCTCCTCCGCAACGGATTTTGTCGCCTGCTAGAAAACTATGCAGCCTGTGACCGACCTGACCCCCCTCCCCTCCGTAAGAACTGCGAGTCATCATTGAGAAACGAAAAATTTGCTTACCGCCAGTGATCGCGAGAGCTATTGTAGGCGCTGCAAAATCATATCCCGCAATTTTCTAGGGACTGTTTTTAGACAAGTTTTTTGCCGCATCCCCCATTTGGTTGTAACTATCACTATAGTCAAAGAAAAAAATCAAACAAAACGCCGTAGCTGTTGGTTATGTTGTTGTGATTCTGCGTAATTTTTTTCGGTCTTCTACCTGTTCATTCTCTGCTTCGCCGATCGCTCCAAAACTGAGGTGTTTTTTTTTTGTTGTTTTTTTATGAGGGAATATAAGATTACGGCGGCGCACCAGACTTCGGCAGTTTCGTATTTTCTTTCTAGCGGGAAGTTTTCGTTTTCCGGGTGAACCTGGCTGGCTTGCTCCGCTAAAATGGCTGCGTAAGGTCCCGTATGTGGGCCAGTGGTGTCTAAGTTATTTCGCTTCGCCTGCCGCCGTTTATTTTATTGCTTTTTCTCTGCTCTCTCAAGTTTAGCAAATTGTTTCTTTTTTCTTTAATCTCGTTCCTCGGGGGGAGATCTCCCCCATTGCTACGTTGCTCATTTTGCGAATCCGGCGGGCGTAACAGTTAGCTAACGGTCTATGTAAGAGAAGAGGAGGAGCGTCGTCCGCCATTGTTGGCCCATAACTTCAGCTTCAGCGGTAACTTTTGCATTTAGAGCTACCGGTCGGTCTCTCCGGTAATAGCGTGGTATGTGTTTTTGTTTTTTTCCTCCTAGTATTGAGGTGGCTTGCGGGGAGGAAGTTGAAATGTCCGGTTTTTCGTTAAAGGAAAGTCGCAAACATTCCATGTTGCTGTACAACAGTGTCGCGGAAAATACTCACCACGGGTGTATCGTACTACCGTCTCTTCTTTTCTATCAGTTGAGGGTATCCCAAATGGAGTTTTAAGCACATCGTGAAAGAAGTAGACAGAGGAGGCTGTACATAGTGTAAATACGTAATGCTGTCGGAGATGGCTGATCTGTAAACAACAAACTAAGAACCAACAAATTTAGTCTAACACGGGTTTTTCGCGTGTTAATATTTTTTTTTTTCTTATGGAATGTGCATGTATGATAACAGCGCGAAAATGTTTTTCCAGATTTTTTTTTTGCTAAAAATGAAACGTTTTTGTTATGCGAGTTGTTTCTAGTGTACATGACCCGCGGTAAACTTGTGCTGTTTTCTTGAAATTTATTAAAAAAGAGCTTTATTGCCAGAAAAACAACCTTGTGTTCCGTTCCTTGTCAGTGCTGATGGCTCCCCAGGGATCTTGGCACTTTCTGCTGTCCCCTTTTATGAAAAAAAAGGGGCACCTGCCCTTCAATCTTATGATGCTCCAAGTACCGACGACCCTTTGTGAAGGTCACATCCAGGGGAAACTTTCTTTGGAGACTCGGTGAGCTCTGGATATTCGAACATTCGATGTCGTTGACAGGTAGTTTCACAGGAGACTGATAGCGCACCAACATGCAGAGACCGCAACCTACTCGGTTAAAATGACCCATACAAAGAACAGAGGAGGGGCGAAGCCAGGAAAAGTATGGACACTACGCTTTTAGGAAGCTGTATGGATGCAGGCATAACCTTCACTTTTCGTTTCTTTTGTTCTTCATTTCTTATCCTTATGGCTGCACAATGGGTTCTTTACTTTCAAAACAAACACAGTCTGTATGTGTGTTGCTTACTGCACATACAAAACAGAGTAGCTAGCTGAGGTATGCCAAACATGTAAACTAGAGCAATTAAATTGCATGTCCTAAATCTAGTGCAGACTAATTCCACTATTTTCTTTACCTTTGGTACATGCTGATGTGTACTCCTGGATGCATCATCTAATCGTCGAAAGTTGCAAGTGTTCCCCTGTAGTGTCCGGCCTGAACTTTGCCCAATGCCTGACACACCTCATGCAGACAAAAGGAAATACCTCTGTCATAATCTTAGCACTTTCTGCTAAGTCAATAACCCACCAGACATCCGTTCTCATTTGTACTTGAAAGCTCCCCGAGAGAGGGCATTGAACGAAGCAGTCCCTGCGTCCCTGCCTCCCGATATGAGTCCAGCACCTGTGGAGGCTTGCCTAGGGCAAGGAGCATGTTAAAAATAGATGCCTGGCTGGGTGGTTGTAAGGGGCTATCGGTCCACGACTGACACTCGTCGTTGGGAGGCCGTCCTTGACACAGTCTTTGTGCGAGAGATTGAGGGAGATAAGCGTTGTATGCCAGGGTGCTTAGCGGTTTGAAGGCAACCAGTCGGACCTGTGGTACGCGTTTCTAAGCTGTCCCTGGAGTTCGGGGAACATGGCTTCAGTTCGTGCGCGTGGACATTCCACTGGTCGGGATGGCGCTAGCATTTTCGGCGAGAGCTGAATCCCCTGAATCTTTGACAGCATAGCCACAGAAAGTTGTCCACGAGGTTTATGTGCTCTTTGGCAAGCCTCGGGGCGCGTGCGGAGGGTTACTAAAAATAAAATAAAGAAAGGTCTAAAAACGCTTTTTTTTTTCTCCAGTGAGTGTTTTTTTTCTTCTGTATTTTCGGGGCTGCTGGTTTTACGGTGATCCTCTTACGAAGTAGTCTTTTGTATTTTTTTTTATTTTAATAAGGCAAACAATTATTGGTGTGCCCCGCTGTTAGTATACTTACAACGTCCTTGAGCACATCGTAGCAGAATCGCATAATAATTTTCACTGCCAAAAAAAAAAAAAAAGCTTTTGAAGGTTTTTTTTTTTTTTTTTTTTTTTAATTTTAATTTGAGCGCGTTTTCGGAATACGTACGCTGTACTCTTCCTGGCATGCTATTTGTTGTCTCCAAATTCAAAATAGCTGTTGTAGTAGGCTGGATCGCGGATCGATGCTTGTCTTGCAGGGGGTCGAGCGGCACCACCGGGCCCCGGCAGCCGGGGAAAGCTCCAACGACGATGAAACTTTTATCGTGTCTTCATATCTAGGTGCAAATATCAAAAGCGTTAGGAAACTCCCTTGTTTTTATATAATATTTTTTGGTTGAGGGTCGAGGGTTGCGACTTTGTTGGGCGTAAATTGTGATGCGGTTTAATAAGACAAGGGTTGCCGAAGCCAACGTGGAGACCTTCGTGATCTCGAAGTCATCAGAGCTTAGCAGACGCTAAGTTAGAAGGCCTTTACTGGAGACATTCGCATTGTTTCAAGCGCTTGTAGAGCACTTCTGATGTAAGCGTTTGCTTTGAACTGCAGTGAGGGCTTCCGTTGCGAACTAAAACCGGAGCCTGTCGTTTATTTGTGGAATGGGTCATTTATTTAGCAACTGAAGCAAGCGACGCTGGCACAATCGGTCATGGCCCAACACATTTTTTATCGGCGTTCGAACGTTTAACAATTACGGATTTCATCTCCAAAACACCCGATATAATGATCGAATCCCGGAGAAAAGCTCACCGCAAAACCGGCGGATGCGGAGAAAAGCTCACCGGCCATCGGAATCCCGGACAAAAGCTCACCGGACAAAAGCTCACCCATTTTTTCACAGACCAGGACAAAAGCTCACCAAGAGAAAATTTCATGTTAGTCTTAACACGTGTACGGACAACTTAGGTGCATGCGTACAACACTAAAATACAACGATATATTCAATTAAAGAAAACCCATGGATTCGTAATGAAGAGACATTGTGCCTAATCTTTATGTGCGCGTTTAGCGTGGCAGAAGCGCAATGAAAAAGCGAGGTCAAGAAAGGGTGACTTAGTTTCTTCGGTCACACTTCGGGTTCAAAAATTTCGGTTCACGAAGTTTCTTGGGCGTGGCACGCGGGTGCTCCGACATACCTTGAGTCAAGCAAGCTTGATCCTATCAGCTCCATTCAGTTTCAGTGACCTAAATGTTGGTCCCAAATCGTTGCTTCTCTGCCTGTAATGACTTCTCTGTCGACACCTTTGCATGGGATGAGATGCCAGTTCTCATAAAAATGGCGGAATGTCCATCGCGTCCGTACTTTATCCCAGCCCGTGTTTCACCCGGAGTAGCAAAAAAAAAAAAAAAAAAAAAAATGAGGTGAGCTTTTGTCCGGGTCAGTGAAAAAACGGGTGAGCTTTTGTCCGATGAGCTTTTGTCCGGTTACCGGCCATCGAGTGTATGCGGGGAAAAGCCTCACCGATATTTTTCTTCTGCTTTTCATATGGAGGCTGTTGGATCATGTGCGACATATATCAATTTATTATCATTAGAAATCGTCAGCTTCGTAAAAAAGAATTTTTGTAATATTTGTTAAAAATTCTTATTGGGTATATTGCTCCCAAATTATTAATTGCGGGCAACTCCAACGAAAGCCTAACTGAAAACTTTATGAACTTGAAGAATAGGAAAAAGTTCGAAAACTTAATAAGCATCTGCCTAAAACCTACAAAGGTAAACTGCAATTTCTTGTGTAAGCCGTATTCTGTGTTATGTATTACTGTATCCACTCCTGCTATAACCCGCAAGGGTTGGCAGTATATGAAATAAATAAAATAAGTAAATGCTAAAAATCCGAAAGTGCATGCGCAACAACGCGGTGCCCGAAAATCTGTTTGGAGGTTTGATTCACCTTTGAAATCAGGATAGAATTGTCAGGACATCGAGGTTTCTTTCTTCCACGGACATGTACATTTTCTAGCCGTTCGTGCTGGTGTTTCCATGCGTTGCCTTTGTGTGATAGTGCCCTTCTACGGTGAGCCACCAATGAGCTTCAGAGCTGCACATTGTTACCGATGTTACTCGTGACCTATATAAAAACTAGTCTTCTGTAAGTAAGGTAGCGAATTGGGGGAGCTGGTAAACGTTAGAAATTATGAAAACTGCTCGAACGACGAAGACGGAGTAGACAACAACCACGGCAGGACGAAGATGTTCTCGCAACTAAAGTTTTATTAGTGAAAAGTAACAGAAAGAAAAGAGCATAGCCGAGACTGATTACATCAACAATCATCTACTTATCTATCAGGCACCACGCAGTCTTCGGAGCTGAAACGGTTCACACAACGCTATTCATATTAGCTCGCAAAAAACAAACGTCTTTATCTGGCAGAGCTATTGACGGCGCACTGTCAAGCTGCCAATAAATTGTTGTCTTTTTTACGGGTGTTCGTTGTTCTGCTTTTATGCATGCGGCGCCATTAATATACAGAATGGGTGATTACTAATTACTGATTACAATCCGCTAAGCTAAGAAAAAATTAAAAACAAATTGGTGAGCTTTTCTTCGCATCCGCTCAAAGGCCGGTGAGCTTTTCTCCGCATCTGCCGGTTTTGCAGTGAGCTTTTCTCCGGTGAGCTTTTCTCTGCCACCCATAATGATCGCAGCACATCATAAAATACTCTCCTTCGAGCACCGCGTGCTTCAAGCTTCAATATTCCAACTTTTGTGTGTATCTCCCATAGACTTGCGTGTACTGCCTCGTGTCAAACAATGACCCCCAGTGGTGCCACTGATGGGCTCCCGATCCGCGATCCAGCCTACTACAATTGAGATGAGTGGTTGCACTGAGCTTCCTCGGCGTTCATTTCCCACCATAAAACGTCTTGCAATTCGTTTAGAACAAGCTGGACTTTTCCCATCATGGAGGTAAGAAGCTTCTGGAGGTGGCATGACGCCATCAGAGGAAAAACCAGGAAGTGTGGATGGACACGCCCTGAACGATGACCAAAACCACAGCTGTTTTGGTCACCCTCGGGGGCCACACTTCCGGCTTCACCTCTGGTGGCATCATGTCGTCTCCAGAAGCTGCCTACCTCCATGGCTCCCATACTTTATTTGACGTCACGTTTTGAACGTTGCCAGTAGAGCCCAAACTTTTACGGTACTCATTAGAAGTAGTAAAAGTACTTGAAACCTTTCCTAATCCCCCCCCCCCGCCCCCCACTACTCTTCGGTTTCCGAGTTTACGACTAGTTGGCCACCACAGGCTATGCCACCACAGTTGGAACTAGCTGCGATGTGCCCACGTTATCAGCATCTGAATCCTGAAAATAACAAAAAATGAAACGACTGTTACCGACCCGTACGAAAGGAGGTCAGTCTCTTTGTAAGTGGTCCGTTGGGTTTAAAGCTGGCACTGTGAAGCCTGACTTCTCCCCAGAGGTTTCAGTACAAAGGTTGATGGTTCATGCTGCATTTACGTCTTTATTCACCCTTCAAACTGTTTCTCCTCCCCGCTGAAAAAAAAAAAAAAAAAAGGAGTAAATAAATAAATAAATAAAAATATTATTCCGGTTGAA